TATATTATAATTATATATATTATATTATAGTATAATATAATATAATCGTAATTTTTAACTATCCATAACAATTCAACCTCATAATTTACCAAACGTTATTACATTGATTTTAGAATCAGCACAGCTACTATAATTATAGTTTACCAAACACTCAACTGCTTTTGGTAACAGCTGCTTTTTCCTTCAACACAGCTAAAAATAATTTTTCTAAAATTTACAGCACAACCAAACTAAGGGTTCGTTTAGTTCGCTGATTCGAGTTTTTAATTCGAGTTGAGATGTGACTTTATGTGAGAGCTTTTTACTGTAGCAAAAAAGTTAAATGTGACTATTTCTGAGAGCTTTTTACTGTAACAAAACTCAAATTCTAAACTTAAATCGGTGAAATGAATGAGGCCTAAACCATTATATATAATAATATGTATTTGATTTAGTATGCAGTTTCAATTTAAAAAAATAAAAAAATGGGCCTGTTTGTTTCCGGTCTCGTTTTTATTTTTCACAATTTTTGAGAAAAAAAACTGAAAACACGTAAGAAAACACGTTTGGTGTAAAATTTTCTAAAATCAAAACTGAAAACACCCGTTTTCATTTTCTCTTTTTTTCTCATCCTTTTGAAAACGAATTTTTTCCGTTTTCATTTTTCTTGTTTTCATTTCCAAACTTCTGAGACTGTAAAGGCCAGATTTGATCTCATCGGCAACAGATCGACCTAGAACACGCATGACTTTGTTTGACTCGAGGAAAAATCTAGCAAACCCAAATCCGATGCTCTCACCGCATGGAACCGGAACCAGACGCGGAGCTGCATCCATGGTGGCGAGGGACGAGCAAGAGAGAACACACATGAGCTAGGATCTGAGATCTTGGATCCGCCGCGATCTCATGGTGACGAAGCGAACGATGACGATGATTGCGTCCGTCGTAGCAAGACGTTATGGCGACAGTAGAGAAATAGGGTGGAAAGAGAAGAGAGGAAGGAGATCTCGCAGAATCCACAATTGACGCCGGTGAAGGATTGAACGTCGATCCTCATGGATCTCGAACTCGGCGAGATCCACCAATGGCGAGCGAGATGAACGACACCGGATCTACCTGGATATCCAGTCAGATCGCGTGCCTTCTTTAGCCACGACATGGCGGAGAGAGAGGAAACTAGAGAAAGTGGGACGAAGACAGGGAGGGTAGAGAGAGAGAGCGACGAGATGACATGAGAGAGAGAAGCGGATTGAGAGTGACAATAAATTAGGATTTAGATTGTATTAACTAAGGGTATTTTTTATATAATTATTAACTAAGGGTTATTATTTATTTAATATATTATTAATTTAAATATTATTACATATTTTTAAAAATTAAATTACCAAACACAATTTTAATTTTTTTAAATTAAAAATAATCTCAAAATAAAATTATCAAACATATTTTTAAAAATAATTTTAAAATTTTATTTTCATACAAAAAAAATAAAAGTATTTTAGAACCAATTCTAAACGGAACGAATTCGACTACAGTGACTCGGAAGAAAAATGAAAAACAATTTGGCGTCCAATCATCACTTGTGCTCAAAATTCTATACCCACTACCCAATGACGCAAAAGTTCAACTTTCTTATCTTACTATCTACTTTTCCATTATTGTAGAAGAAAACCAATCAATCCAAAGCAGCCGTCCATTTTTACACGATTCTCACCCCACTCACACACTCTCTCTCTCTCTCCTATCTCTTTTCTTCTCCACATTCTCTCACTCTCAGATCCCTCAAACCAAACCAAACAAACACCATATCAATGGAGTCTCTCTTCTCCCAGTTCACCCTCCTCTCAAGCCAAGCCCTCTCTGACAAGAACTTCGACCCCTTCGCCATCGAAGATCTCATGAAGCTCTTCGAGGTCGAAGCCTACAAGTCCTGGGCCGCCATGGAGCTCCACCTCCAGCAAGAAGCCGAGGACGCCGAGTTCGGGTTGCAAGAGGCCGAGGACGAGCTCAATTCCGCCATGGAAGCCGCCATGGAGGAGTTCCGGCTATTCGAGGAGGAAATGGAGCGGATGGAGAAGGCGGAGCTCAACAGCCTGGAGGCGACGGCGGAGAGCGAGAGGAGGATGGGGAAACTGATGGAGAAAGCCGCCACTGTCGCCTCCAAGAGGTACATCGAGGCCGCCATGAACTCGGCCGCCGCTGCGATGAGATCGGCGTGGAAGGGGATTTCGTCAAACAGAGTTCATCCTTCTTGAGAATTCAGAATTCAGATTTGATCTTCAATATCATCTGCTTATGTGGTTTAATGCCAAGCTTCTTCATTTTCTCTTTATCTTAATTAATTTAATAATTTAGGTTGAAGGTTCTTGTACTGATATGGAAAAGTGTATACGTAAAACGATGGTTTCTATGAAGAATTAAATCAAGAAAAGCAAAAGCTATGATCTATATATACATTTCAGAGTGAAATTTTCATCTAATTGTTAGGTGTTTGTTTTTTTTTTAATTCTGCAGTAGAGTAGGAAAAAAGAAAACGCTATCAATAAAGATCACATTAGATTTATGTTTAATAAATTGATGAAATTTAATCAAAGTTTGATTGCTAAATGCAATGTCTTTCCAATAAGTTGTTATTATTAGTATTATTATTATAATATTATTATGATTTGTAACTATGCCTTCTCCCAAACGGAGATTTGGGTGCCATGATTTAATTATTGATGGTTTGTGATTGCTTATTGCTAACTACTTGGATTTTGGTATCAATAATTGATAGTAGACGGCTAGACTAAATTACAAGAATGTTAAAATGAAAAACCAATTATCAAAAAAAAAAAAAAAAAAAAAAAAAAAAAAAAAAAAAAAAAAAAAAAAAAAAAGAAAAATTGGGGAACTTAAAAAAAAAACAAAGGCAACTTAAAAAAAAAAAAACAAATAAAAAAAAAAAAAAAAAAAAAAAAAAAAAGAAAGAAAGAAAGAAAGAAAGAAAAAGTGATAATTGTGAGACTTAATAAGCAACTGAAGTGACTATATGGTGGGGAACAAAAATTAGACAATTACACATGTAACATAGATTAGAAGTTTCCAGCCATAAAAGTCCTTATGAAACCATGCTTAGTTGGGATGATTCATGATTTTACAGGATGAATTAGACTTATAGAATCTAGTATTCTAATATATTTCTATGAAAAGTTTTGAGCTTAATTTACATATATACAAAAGTCGTATATGTGAATAACTATACTTCATTAGTGATACTGAGTATAATTTATAAGATTTTGCTGTGGATATGATTTTGATGGTTTAGTCTTAAGCAGTCCAGTCGGGATTGGGTATATGTTTGCATCCATTTGAATTTCCCAACTGTTTTTTTTTTTTTTTCCATGGGAAAAGATTCAATTCGGTTTATGATTTCAGCAATCTTGTTTTAACCTCTTATATATATATATATATATATTAACGGTAGAAATTTTGTTTTAACCACTTAGTTAATAGAGCATCAGCCTCAATAAGGGATTTTGATGTCAAATAATGATGTGAATAGCATACTATTATCTAGTAGCATTGTAAGAGCGTTTTCCCCATGCTAAATTCCTATGTGAGTGTTAATGTGATATTTGGAAAAAAGATTTTTGTACCAAAAGTTATTTTGAATTTAGCATACGTGGTACTGAGTAGTTAATATTTTTTTGTACCAAAAGTTCAATAAATAACATCACAACAAAACCTCTAAACGTTATTTTTACATACGTGGTACGAAACGGCAAACAAAAAAAAAAAAACTACTCATCACATAGCTTGGCAGTCTAATTAAGCGTAAATTAGAAATTACAACAACGATAAATAGGCATCGCCAGATCACGGTCACGAAGAATCAAACGAGTTTTTTGGTCATCATCTTTATCATCTTGTCAACAAGAGAGGAGAAAATCCGACGCTTGATTTTTCCTCTCTTAGGAGGAAGGGCTTCTTCTCTAATGTTGCATTTCTTCATATCCCTAATTGACATATTTGCTTGTGAGTTCTGCATATGCATGAGAAAGCAAATTTAGAGAGAGGAAAAATTTGTTGGCGATAAGCTAAGCATATAGATGTGTGTGCTCCTACATTAAATAGGCAATAAGTGTGTGTGTGTATATATATATGTATATATATATATATATGAACAAATTCTCATGAGTTTGACTACTGATATTTTGCTGATAAATATGTGTATATATCTTAGTAAATGACATGCATGTAGACATTTGATGTCATTTATAGTGACAGTATTATATTGAGCGTCATGTAGTTTGTGATTTGCATAAAGTCACTTTGATTTCATATCCTACAAGTAGGACTTATCAGATCATCATCAAGTTTCATATATTTTTTTTAATCTAATACGATTATTATTATCTGTTGGTTAAAATTATGTACTACAGAGATTTTTTTCATGCGCTACCACATGATTCTTCAATTTCTTTCTCACTCACTAATTTGGGGTCTATCGTCTAGGTATAAACGAATTATGTGTAAGAAGAAAGACTTGGTCTTAGATGGGTGGAATCTAGCTTATGACAAAAACCGAGGCTAGGGGAGAAGTACTTTGAAATTGCATGAACGGAAGAGCAACATAATTATTACCGAAAATTTGACGATTTCTTATTGTTTGGAAGCAAGGTTTGTGTTCACGATGGGGGAAATAGGAGGGGAAAAGAGATAAGAGGACTAATAAATTGATTTTTTTTATTATAAGTACGTAAATTCATATATATACACACATTAATGGAATATAAATTTATATATATGCATATATAAATCTTTATTTGCATATACAAATATATGAATATATATATATATTGATAAATTTTTAGTGGTTTTTTTTTTTTCATAAGCAGTTACCCGATCAAATTTTGAAAATAATTAGTACTTACTTTTATTACATTTGATCTGTGATTTGTATGACTGGTTATATCAAGTTAATCAATAACTTAACCATAAGCAGCAATAAAAAAGATTATTATGAGCTCTCTAGATTTAATGCTCATCAAATTCACTACAACCGCTTGATATCAATCCCATGCAACAGGCTACCAACTGATAGATAAAAATTAAAGTTATATAACCATTAAAACGTCATATATAGGGAGAAAATTACGCGAGTTTAAATTTTTACCCTTTATTTTTAATTAATATCCTTTTAATTAATATATTATTTGATTATAAATTATATTAATAAAGGGTAAATGGTAAAAAAGTATTTGTCTCTTTTTAAACAATTATAAATGAAATATTTACACAATAAACTGTTATTTACTTTAAATAGTTTTAAAACATGTTATTTACTTAATTTAATTTTATAAATATGCTATTTACTGTATTGTTCTAAGTTTTAAATAGATAAAATGGTAACAAAATAAGAATAAGGGCAAATCGAAAAAAAAAAAAAAATCTTCTTGCTTAACTAATAACTACATATTATTAATCAAGCAATGGGGTCAACGTTGTCGTCAGATGTGATGTCTTCTAGTGCGGACATCGGCCTCTCAACGTCAGTATGAGAAGAGAAAGGGAAAGAGGAGTTTTCCGGAGTAAGAAGACTGGGCAAAAAGAGAGAGGGACAAAGGTGGGATTAAATAAATTTAGTCAAAAATGGTCAAATGCGGCTCATTTGTTTTATTCACCATGTACCAGTCGGTTAGTCATGCGTTTTCTGCCAGTTGACAGTCTGAAAAACAAACGGAAGAAAAATAAGAGTAACGAGGAAAAGAAATCACAACCGGTTTCACAAGAACTTCATTGTAGATTAGAACGCTACAAAACAACCGAAACATAGGAAAGATCATGGAGGGAGGGTTACCTCTCATTATGCAACCCACGAATCAATTCGACTTTTCAACTACGCCATCGTACAATATAGCATGATAAATGTTAACACACACACATATAAATATATATATATCCCTTCATAACTACTTTATGACGATTATATTGTAAACTAGCCAGAACACTCCAAATAAGAAAGCACAACAAACTTGTACTCTTGAGCCGCCATCACTGCTTTTATCAACCAAATGCTGTAAGAATGTAGAACGGATACAGAGGTCGAGATAGTTTATCGTAAAATTCGACAAAGGCACACTTTGGTACTCTTTGCTGCTTTGCATAATAGCTGAACACAAAACAAATTGAGCCCTTAACAATCAGGGCAGGGGAAAAAAAATTCAAAAAATATTGCATCTGAAGAGCATCTGTTTTTGAGAAGACATGATAAGATAAAGAGGAAGGGGTTATCTGCTCCCTGTTATTCTTCTCGGAGCCTAGTTAAAAAATATAATAATCGGCCTCTATTATATGGAAGGAACAAAAGGAAGAGAAACAACTATCTTGATTCTTGCCTTGCACAAATCTAGTTGGAAGAATATATTAACTTCCCAACAAACCACTCAGAATAGCGAGATTCGAATCACCTCCTAAGCTGCAAAGAGCAATTGAATAAATGTAATGCTTAATGCTGTCACGCAGGGCTTCCTGGCTATGCATTCAGTGGCTTATGGATCAACAGATGGATAGAGACCTGTCATGTAATTGCGTCCACCGCCATTAGAATCTGCAACACCATAAAAGGGTGAGTGAAGCTCCCCGGAGTGAGATGACTTTCGGGACTTTGGGTTCTTAGGAGATGCTGTATAAGAATCATTAGAACTGCTAGTAGAATACATTGATGATGTAGGTAGTCCATGGATCTTCGGCAACCCTGTTGCATCACCTCCCAAGCTGTAACCCTTTTCAACTGATTCGGCTTCCAAAGGCAACTCATCCAACGTCTACCAAAAAAGAGAAATAGTAAAGATATTGCGTTAGTTCTTTATGCATCTGCTGTTACAATCTAGGCTCAGTGATGGATAATACTATGCAATTTCACATTATATAGAAATTCCATGTCACAACTAAGAGTTTTCAGACTAAATAATCAACATTCAAGTAAAAACATTTAAATGCTAAACATTAAAAGAAAAAAATTAAAGATGATGGTTGAAAGAGGGAAAAAAAAAAAATCCAACTTTTACTTTCAAGAAGTAAATTTTACTCTTTTAAGAAGGGAGTAAAATTTAAACGTTTAAACAGATAATTTAAATCTTAAACTCTCAAGGTTGGCAGCGGAGGCGCTAATGTATATCAGCACATTAACAGTTGTACCAAACTCTCCATGCATAATGGCTTACGGTTTCCATTTAGTAAGTTGGTAGCAGATCCACATTAGCACATAAGCGAGATTTGAATTTATGGCCTACTGATTCTTGCAAATTTACATATTAAGAAATCAGGAAAAAGTTACCCGAAAAGCCTGCTGAAGAACCCGGAGTGTATCGCGAGTGCGTTTTCTCTTAGATGCTATCTCTTCAGGTTCTGCCAGCATTTCTTCAAGCAGATTCTCTCTGTTGTGGATGATAGAAAGAGCAAAAAATTGAGACTAAACCATGTTAGATCAATTTGTTTGGAAGACCAAGATTTGACATTTTTTTTCCCCTTAATGGTACCTGTAAAGCTTTTTAATGAAGACATTGTGCAGCTCACGCTTTGTATGGTTTACCTGGATATAATAACACCCAAAAAGTCGTGACTTACAGAATGCATGAGGCTCGGGTTAGTTGATAGTCTATAATCACAGATGGAACTACAGCTCACGCAAACAGAATAGAACCATAAAAGATCACACATACGCATAATAGTGTATCTAATATACATTGATTACCTAAGATGAAAGCGCTTTGCAAGCCTGAAAATGGAACTAAATTGCTAGACATGGTTTGCACAAACAACCATTTTACAGTAGATTATTCGTATATTTCAGTCCAAATACAGATATCATGCAGTTACAATAACGAGGTTTCACGAGGCATTTGAAGTGCTCAAGTCAAATGAATTAATCTGTCATGTTAGCTTGGCAAAATTTTTCCAGATTAAAACCCAATGGATCAAGGTCATAGTGTTTACCAAAATGGATTACAGTTGTTCACCAGAATCCAGGAGATCCCAGTTTAATTCAATAATATAGCATGCAAAAGAGAAACTAAAGAAGCCTAATATGGGCAAGTCCATAGAAATTTAGTATTACCAAGAAATGCATGATTGCTTTAGGTACGGAGTCTTCTATATTCTTTCTAACGATGTCGTAGTATGATCTCAAGAGCAGTTTGGTGACTGCAATTTCGATAGACTCCTGCTCTGAATGGTTTTCTGAAGGCCTCAAGACGGTTGGGGGCTGAAAAAAAATTAAATAAAAAGAGGTTAGCATAAGATTTATCTTTTAGAAAAGTTCATATTGAAGCACAGCTGAAGCGAATTGGAAAATATTTTATTACCTCCCTTAATTGTATCATAGAGAAGGCTTGGTCCATGGTGTGAATAGGTTCATTGTAAGTTTTGTTCATTGGGCTCTCTTTAACAGTTGTGCGGCTCTCACCTCCACCAAAAATCGAAGAAATCCCCCAATTCGAACTGCTAGTGCTTCCTAAAAAATTATGAATAGATGTAGTATCAAAATATGTCAGGATCCATTCATGCTTATTAGGGACTTGTGCGATAAAAAGAAAACAAAGACAACTGCCCATATCCTACCTTACCCCCCAACAAAAATAGAATAGAAAAGGGAGCCGGGAGGCAGGGGTGTGGTTAGGCGGTGAAGAGTATTCATAATTAGAGACTAGAGTTATCAATATCTCTTGTTCTTTTCTTTATTAAGAAAATCAATGTATGCTGTCTATTCGTTCTTATTATTTAGTCATGTTTCGTAAAAGTAATAAACACACACCCAAAACATGTGTTGCAGTCAATGTTATGAACATAAAGCTTGTTTAGCATGTTACGGTATCAGTTTATAACAAATTACGTAAAATAGTCAACAATATAAGATACATATGACTGTATCATAATGCACGAGACAATAAACATTTGTAATAGGTTAAAAAATTATTGAGGTTTAATGGAATATATTACCAGATGATGCAACTTTTTCACCATCAGGGACAGGCCGAACACCCTGTTGATGATCCAAACAGAACACATCAATCAGACCAACTTGGTGTTATAGTAAAAATTTCTTAATCTAAGACTAGCTGTAACTGAAAATAAAACTACTAATTAATGACAGCAATTCAGATTATATATCACGTTGTTTTAGGGAAGAGACTGCACCTATTTGCCCAGAAGAAGGAATTTTTTTCCATACCTGATCAGCCACAATTCCATTTACTTGTCTGGCAAGAATTGCTCGAGATTTCAGACTTCTTTCAGATGTTGGAGCCTTATCAGGTTCCACAGCATCCTAATTGATTGGGAATTTGATGAAATGTAAACAAAAGGGAAAAGGAAAGGGGAAGCATGCAAAACAAAAAACTTTAGTAATTAATATGTGCACACATACCTTCTGCCTCGAGATAGCCAGAGGAACACGAGAGGACTTGACTTGTTGCAAGGCAATCTCGACAGCCTTACTCCCACCAACAAAGTTTGGATGTGAAGTGTTTATGTAGTCCATCTGCGAATGTAATTACTTACAATTTTAAGTTTTTAACAACCAAAATTTTCAGAAAGATGGACAATAGCACAATTTGCCTGCCATAATGACATCCAATAGCATTAGATAAAATTGATATGTAGAAAAAGTAGGGGAACTGAGTTGGCAGACAGGCAACAACAATTAGTTCTCTTCTAGTAATTGTGACAACAGTGTCACCTCAAATTAGAGTGAAAATAAGGGGCAAAATCAAATTCCTTGCTCAATAGTCATTATAAATTAAAGAAAACTCAACGCAAACCCATAGCAAAGCGGCACAAAATCCAGTCACGACAGTTGGAAGAAGGCCACGCACTGCACAGAACATAAGGGCAGCCCATAAGGCTGACCATATCTCACAAGCATTTACCAAATACTGTGCTCAAACCATTCCCAACTGGGGTAACATTTTGATACCAGTGCAAAGAATATTTTTCTTTGTCCAGTCTAGTTGAAGTAATAGTTCTTCAAACCTATTATTTCTGTGCCATTCAAAAGGCGCAACAGGAAAAGAACAATATAAACTTTTTCACATGCAGTTACCATTTACCAACATACCTCCATCTCAATTATGTGTCCAATCATTGTCTCCGAAGGCTCTAGACCTTCTCGCAAGAAGTTTCCTATAACTTCGTCCATCCGCTTTCTCAAAACAGGGAAGCGCTGCAACTCATTCACTAGGCAGTGATGACTAATCTGAAAGGAGAAAATTATTATTTAAACATCAAAACAAATCATGCAGTATGAGGAGTGATAGGAGCTGCAAATAATACTTCTACCTTTATCAACTCGTCATATATAAACCTAGCACACTGAAGACTTGGGTCTAAGAGACGAGCGATTTGCCTCCTAATAAGAACCTCAAAAGGAACCTATATAAAAGATGGTCAACATTAGAAAAACAGGTTCAAATGGAACCTGGGCTCTTGATTGAGAAATATAATCTCTGTTTCAATAAAAGATTACTGGAGAAGTAAAAATGGAAGAACTGAAGACCTACTTCTGGCACAAACAATGCAGACTTAGGGCCAGTTGCATTCTGAATGGCAGTTCGAATGTCATCATCTGTCAAGTCCTCACATGGATCCACCTCCTGCATGACAGGTCAAACCGCAAAAAGACAATCAGTCAATTGCAGATCTAAGATTAAGCATTATGTACCAACTCAATAACCCATTCACCCAACAAATCATTAGAACCAGAATCCTAATATTGTTCTCAAAAACACGTGTTATTAGTCAAAATAACTGAGTCTTAGCTTGCATATGAACTTTTTTTTATAGGAAACTCGAAACTTAGATGGATGAGCTATCTTTCGACCATTTAATATCTCACATCTGATGAGTACCTTCTGGAGCAGTTCTAATCAAAACTGACAGCTTACACTGGTTTAAATTCCAATATAGTAGATCCATATTTACATGAAATTGTGCCAAAATAAAAGGAAATATATAGTGAAAAAAGGTAATATCAAGAACACTAACCTCTAAACTTTTAACAAAAATTGACTGAAATATATAGTGAATTCTTGCTCCACCCGACAGCTCAGATGTTGACATCTCTTCGTTTTTCCCCTCCACCATCGAAGAAAATGCTGTTTCCAAGTTCCAACAACAGATGCGATATCATTCATGGGATTAAGTTTAAGATGGGCGTCCAGTGTACCAATACAACATCACCAACATGATCCACAACATTATTAGGAGATTTTTTTTTTTTTCCATTCATTTTGATAGAAAACTCAGAACCTTTATTAAAAATTTACGAACTAAAACAAGTACAAGGTAACCAGACAACAGAAAGCAGGTAATCTTCAGTTACCTTCAGAATACTTGGAAAGAATGTTCAGGAGAAGAGCTCCCTGAGCAGCCTGTCAACAATATAAGGTTGAATAAGCACACACGAAAGTAAGACTTCATATGAGCCAGAAAAGCAACAATCAGATCTCTGAATATCAGTTTGTTATGCGAACTTGAGGAGATGCCAAAAATAAGCTTATTTAACACATAAAGAAAGCAAGCAACAAAATTCATAGCAAGTGGCAACTGATACAATTGCAATATTGTCTGGAGAGTACATAGCAATAATCTCATTCTAGAAGTCCTTTAGATGCACCAGAATGGACTTCGCAATAATATATTCTCAAAGAAGATTAAGGGCCAATTTAATTAACAAACAACTATACCTTATTTTCGGTTATTTCTCCATAACTGGCATGCTCTTTAGCAACAGAAACCAATGCAGAGCTAATACGTGACTTGAGGCCGGGGAGTACTGCCTTAATATGTTGCACTAAAATCTGCAAATAAATCATAACAGTTGATCATATACGAAATGTACAGAATCTGCAAATAAACTAAAAGAGACAAGAAATACTGCCTTAATACGATAGTTCACATTGATGAGCTGAAGTCATCTAGGATCATATTAAAAAATCATCATAAGCAGGTATGCCTAAAATGGTATTAGATAGGAAACGGCTCCATAAATGCTGTGCAGACTATATTTTGAAAATGGTTCTTTTTGTTGCAAGTATAATGCTCATGAAACAGCAGCAAGAGGCAGCAGCTGCTCAAGAACGTAGTAACTTTTATGCATGCATAAGGTAGTAGCTACGGAACTATTTAACTCGTTCCATGAGATTTAATGATGACTAGCTCCCACATATATTACCTGGTTCAATTTCTTGGCTAATTGAGGGACACCACAACGATCAGCTAGCCCATTGTATACCTACATAACGAGAAAATAATTAATTCGATTTATTTTTAAAAAAATATGCCAAGAGATAGTAGTTATTTAAAGAAATTATAATCATACAGGACGGCTGCGGAAAAACTTTTCTTCAGCTATAAGTGCGTCCTTAATACCCCTGTTGAGCATAATATCCTGTTCCAATAACAAAATTAAACAGCTCAACTACAATCTAGCCTGCTACTAAGAAAAAATAGTTTTTCCATTAACAAGTGTATTATATAAGCATACACGGCTATGTCTTTAAAGCTACTTCAACATAAGCAAAATACTGAAAAAGTAATTCTAACAATACAAACGCTAATGAAGATCTTTCCAGTGTGCATTGCATCAATACTATTTAATATTTATTATCCACAATCGAACTCCAAAAATAATCTCAAACCAAGCATCCATAAAGGGTGTTTGTGCAACTCATTTTTGAACTGCTAATAAAATTTATTCACTTCAGGCACTAGGATTGTTAAATATCCAACCTCTGTAGACTCCAATTATTCAAAAATCAGCAAAGATAACATGAAACTACAGATGGACTTGTGTATCTGTCACAAAACTATGCAGTTAACAGCTACGATATGCAGGAGCAAGGCTATTTATTTACTATACAGCATAAGCAACAAAGGTGTTTGTCTATGTTCTGACTTCTGAGTTGCTTCAAAAATGTTACACAATTTCTCTCATTTAGTTGAAACTTGTTGGGCGAAGAAACTATGAGAATCAGTCCGCTTAAGGGAAAGCCCAAAACACAATGCCAATCTTCTTTTATGCTTTTATTCCTTCAGAGATTAAGATTACCTCCTGACTACGATTTACAACCCCCACATAACCAAGTTTCAGAGGAATCACTTTTCCAAGCAACAAATTGCGGGCATCAGTACCTCTGTCCATTATATCCAACTGTAATCACAGAGGAAAAACATGAAGTGAAAACCTCATCAGAATAAAGCATAACTTCAGAAATATTTCCAATACATTCATTACAAGTTGAAAAAGGTGAAGAAAATACCACACCTTTGTGATTACTCCTATAGTTCTCAAACCTGCCAAGAGGAAATTGACCAGAAATTCACAATAGTGAAATAACTAATACCAATTTCACCAGAGTGTCATTGGAAGCAATACTTACCATCAGGATCGGCATTTCCTGCAATCTGAAGAGCATCTGAGTTTGCTAAATCAGAATTTGCTGGTGTAACAGCCAAAATTAAACAGCTAGGGACTTTGATATAAGACATGATCATCGTTCTAATTCTTGCTTCAATATCAGACGGCTGGTCACCAACAGGAACTTTTGTTATACCAGGCAGATCCACCAGCGTGATGTCTAGAACATTTGGTGAAAATATCTTCAAGCGAATTTGCTTGTCTGATACACCTTTATTTCCTCCCGCTTCCCTATCTGTCTCAGCCTGTGTCAGACATAAATCGTTAAAAGGAACTATCACAAACATTAAACGAATACTTTAAGGCATCATATGTGAAAAAATAAAATTAAGAAAAAAAAACTGTAATAACGAAACATCTAAGAGACTCTTCTCAAACTCAATAGTGCCATCACTAAACCATCATACCAGCAGAAACTCACTCATACAGAAAGCAAGGGATCTAGAAATACCCAATGCTAGCAACAGTCAAGATTGAATTTCATTTCAAAAAATTAATAAGTATTTGATTCCTACACTATCCAATAGGTAAATATCATCTCTTCGCCTTTTCTTGCTATCCCTATTGACATACTTAAAAAAAAAAAAAAAAGCTTTCCTTCTTAATTTCTTCCAATTTCAAGGTATTGATCCCCTCATTTTACTGTTTCGATGCCTATGTGTCAACACAGTTCAAAATTATGTTTTAAATATTAAGACCATCAATAAACCATTCAAACAGGAACTGACAATGTTCGCAAACTTCAACTTGTACAATCATTCTCATGAAAAATTACCAAAAAGGATTCTGTACAAGTCGCAAACAACTTCCCAAGGTCATGGTATGCAGTTAAGGAAGCAATAAGAAAGAATTCAATTTAATCCAAAGAAATACCAATTTAGTTACGAGTCTTAACGACTAACAAAAATCACATATCCAACTCATCAGTAGTTGATCTTCTGTGAATAGTGATAGATATATTATCGAAGATAAGGTGGCAAATTTCATACTATTATCAGATAGTATTGTGGATTATTACTCCTTTTTTTTTTTTTTTTTAATCTCGCCACTTATTTATGTATCAAATATTACTTGTCCATACTCCAGAGAAGCTCAATGCTCATTAGTACCAAAGAATATGCGAGAAAAAAGACGAATAAAACTCTATACTCATATCTATTGGGCTTGATGAAAAATACGGAATGTAGCTCAAGTAAATTATCAACATGATATTATTGTCGATTTGAATTTGGTTCTGAACTACTGTTACGCAACCTGAGTCAAAATTTCACTTTTTGTTTCCAACTTTCAGAGGCAGACGTCTTACCAAGTAAAGCATTGAGAAAACTGAAATGTTTCTCTCAAAGTTGACCATTTCTCATCCAAAACCAATAGAGAAAGAATACGGTCGTCCGATCAAAAACCCTACCTGAATTTCCCTCCGAATATCGGAGAAATCGTAGAAGCGCTTGCCAGGCAAGTGGAGGAACTCGCCGTACTCGTCGTCGGTCCCGTCGGCGCTGCGCTTGGTCTGGAGGAGCTGGAGAACGAGAGGGCGGCGCGTGCAGATGTCGGAACCCCTGGGGAGGAAATCGCGGCCCACGAGCGCCTCGAGGACACTTGACTTGCCGCTGCTCTGGCTTCCGACGACGGCGACCTGAGGGAGCTCGATCGTGGATTGGCTCCCGAGCTGCGCGAAGATGTCCTGGAGCTTGTTCCATGGATGGTGGATCTCGTAAAGCGCTAGGGTTTTTGAATTTTTTAGAGAGAGGAGAGGGGGATTTTGCAGTTGTGATTGGAGATTCTGAGATTTTTTTTTTTTCTTGGAAGAGTTTAGGTTTTTTTTTTTTTTTTTTTTGACAGGTGTGATATAGCTTTGCCTTTGGGTGCGCGATGGGTGTGGAGAATGGTAAACTGCGCACCACTGTTGAACGATTGAAGAGAGAGAGAGAGAGAGGGAAAACTATACGGAGGATTATTTTTTCTTTTTTCCTTTCGTGTAGTTTGTTTTGTAGTTTGTACGAGGATATAAACATGTTTGAGAAAGAAAATAAAATTGTAACGTGTAATTTACATGGGCGAATTACACGACTCTCCCGAATCAGCTACACGCTTAGCTGCCTTTACTTTTTGGCCCGTTGGGTTCGCGTCAGTAATTTTAAATTGATTTTCTTCCATCGATTACTGTCTTATAATTTTTCTATCTCTTTTAGTTTTACTTCTAATAGTAAATAAGAAAAAGTAAATTCATTTTCTTTCATCTATATCGTTCTAAACAACTTAAGGGACATTTAAAATTTTTTATATCCTTTTCAATTTTTATCTTTTTACGGCTGTCCTTTCCCTAGCGTATTCTTTCATTCTTAACAAATAGAGTATTAGAAAAATAATAATATTAAAAAGGACTGCTAAATATACTCTATTTTGAACTCTCTCTCATATTTTTTTTTTATTTTTAACTTCTGTGGCCATATTTTTTCAAACAAACATATTTGGGGCTCATTCGCTTTGTAGACTCGTCGGAGACGTTTGGTTCATGAATTAAAATTATTTTCAATTTATGTGTATTTTTTATGAGAAAAAATACTGTAATGAACTATAAACCATGATTTAAATCATTGTTTAAATCCAACAATTAAACGTCTCAGTCATGTTTCGAACCCATAAATAAATTTGAACTAATGTTTAATTCATTTTTTCTAAACTTGGGCTGTGGATTTAAAACCATCCTAAAATGAAAGAACCATTTTTGAAAAACTTAACTCCCCTTAAATTTTCATGTGTTTGAACCTATTTGTTGCAATATTTCTAATTTAAAATCATGAGCCTTTTTTTTTTTGTTTACTCACAATCCTCGTAGTAATCAAACACTAATTTAAACTTTATTAACTCATGTGATGTTTTATTCTAATTTTACGCTTCCAAACAATGATTTTAACCAAAGTTAAAAAGAGTGACACACAATTCGAACGTGCGAAGCAAACAGATTGTTAATTATCAACCATTTTCTATATAGATATTTACAATGCCACTCCCTTTTTCTAAAACCAAAGTGAGATAACACCCAAAACACCCATTATATTTTGTCAAAATACCATTTTCGTTCCTCTTATTGTGTAATTACTCAAAACACCCCGTGTGTTTATAAAACCAAAGTCAAAACACCCTTTAAAGCAATTAAAATTTTAAAATATCAACATTACTCTTCCTAATTTTTGTTAAATACAATTCAAAATATTATTAAATCAAAATGGTAAACAAAATCAATCTTTAAAATGAAAAACTCTCAAAATAAGTGAAGTATTTTTAAATTTTATTTTTAATTTTTTAGTTAAATCATATCTAGAATAATATTCAATATATATTGGGAAGGGTAATAATAGTATTTTGAAAATTTTAATTATTTCAAATGGTGTTTTGTGCCTTTTTTAATAAACACGAGTGGTATTTTGTATATTTGCATAAAGAGAGACGAAAGTGGTATTTTGACAAAATACGAAGAGTGTCTTGCGTATTTTCCCAACCAAGTAACAAAAGAATTTTGGCTTGGTTCGAGGTTGGCACGACTGGTTCATTAATCTTAAAAATTAAATAGCATGTTTTGTTTACTGATTTAAATCCATTATCCTAACTATACCCTCTCACAATGTATTTGAATAAAAAAAAGTTGAGATACTATCACAAAAGTTAAATTTAGAAATAAGCTCTTATTTGTTTCACTAGTTTAACTCAATTCAACTCAATTAGAACAATGATGATAGTTTGAATTCATGTTTGGTAAACGGGCGGTTTGAATTATATTTTCTATTTGAAATGAGAAATTATTCAACTTAGAGTTTAGCTCCCTATTTAAGTTCAATCGTTCAAACAATTTTTAAACAATAAAAATGTGCCACTTTCTCTACTTTTCACACCTATCAAAAATAAATTCGAACAAATTAAAATTTTAACTGCATATTTAAACGTCAATTCAAATTACAATTTAAATTACATAGTTCAAATTTTTTTATTTAAACAAAAAGATTTAAAGCATTAAATTCGAACCAGCGAACCAAACTAGACTTAAATGTTTCTATTTGATAAATGAGTTTTAAGGATTAATAAAAGATATTTTAAAAGATTACTCGTAATATTTTAACAAATTAATAAAGAAACAGATTAATTTTAATCAACCCTCACACAAAGAAACAAAAACCAAAACTAACACCCTTAAATCCTAACCGATCACCCACCCTCTCGTCTAGCTTCCCTATTCTCATCCTCATCGCACGACAAAACATTGATTAATCATAAAAAAATCTATATGAATTGAAATTATATTAACTAATATATTCATAGAAATTTAAAACTAATAAAATAAACTTAGCTAAATATTTGTAAATATTATACATAATGTTAAAGATAAACACGATCCTAACTCAAAATTAAACACTATTCTAGAATGTATTATAAGGGAATTTTTATAAATAGGATCTCTACCTGTAGGGTAAGTTTTTAATATTTAGATATACTAAAAAAACACCAAATTTAAAAAATATATAGAACATACATTTAATAAATATCCGACAATTCAAAACAATACATTATTAGTTGAATATTTTTTTTCATATGTCACAAGAAAAAATAATGACTAAAATCATATTGCACCATACGACATATTTTTCTTTTAGAAAAAAGAGATAAATACCTCTTTAAATAATATATTTTTAATGTTTAATTCATAAATAATAATCCATTAATTTCTAATTAAATAATTAAATAATCAAAAAAATATTAATTAAAAAATAATAAAATTCAAACTCATACACTATCACACTATAAAAAAATAAGTTGAACAATTTTCTTAAGAAACCTCTAATTGAATCGCCCTTGGTCACATATCCAAAGACCTATCGACCAAGATCTTCAAAAGAATATCCCACCTGTCCAATCCATCCCAAACAAGGATTTATTAGAAAGCCAAGATAAACTACATCCGTGTCTACAGAATCCAGATTCAACCCTCCCCCACGATTAGTCACTCTATCATAAAGTCAAAGAATCAAAAAAAAAAAAAGTTCCAACATAGTACACACGACAACACGTGTCCAATCACCACAGACTCTACCGCACAGAATAACTAATCGCCCCAATATAAAAGCAGAAATCTCAGGTCTCTGGTAGCACAACGTAGAAACCCTCTCTTGACCATATTCTCTAGACCCTTCCTAGGTTTTCTGACTCGGTCGCCGTCGCAAATCTCTTCCGTCGCCGCCATCAGCCATGCCTCGCCGCAGCTCCGGAGGTTAGGGATTCGCAGCTTTCTCCTTTTTATCAATTTTATTCACAAGCTACTGTTCCATTTTCTTTTCCCCATATCTCGTCGTTTGATTTCTAGGGTTTTACTGTTTGTAAATTTGGGGACGAATAATCATATGCCTATCTTCTCGATGAAGCCTCGTTTTCCATGATTTGACCTGGGTTTTAGGGCTTTAATTTTCTTTTTTCCCTGATTCAAGTTGTAAACTTACTTTTCTGCATCCTTTTTAGGTCCTTGAGGAAGGGATTTTTTGTTTTTTTGTTTTTTTTTTTGTTATTGCTTCATTTCTGGTTGAGTTTTTTCTATTACCTTATCTGTTTATCTATGTAAGAGTTTTTGGTTTTTGAGTGTGGGTTTGTCAGGTATATTCCGAATTTTTTTTTCTTAGCTATTTTGTGTGGATGGTAGTTTCTCTTGTGATGGGTAGATCCATAGAGTGAATCTGAATGGAACTTTTGTTGTAACTATTGTTCTCCCCTGGGATTTTGTCTTGTTCTTCTTATATAGACATATGAAGAAATGTTGAAAATGCCTTTTTGACAACCACCAAGAACGTGTGATTTCTATTATTGAATGTGTGCCTCCATGACACGTGAAAAAGTTCATATGGAAGTTGGTATATTATATGCTTGTGGGAACAGTTTTAGACTTTCTCGGATATATGAAACATCTTTTTGCCACCTGAAGTTGTTTTCATAAATAAATACTGGGAAATGATGCAGCAGGTGATTGTTGTTGTTACGGTCTTGGGAATAACTAGGACTTTTTTGCTGTGTAGACTTGATTCAAGGAGAATTTGTGGAGCTTGGTTTGTGTAGCTAGGGTGTTAATTGTCATTGATTTGCATTCGGAAATGTTCCTTATTATGTGTTGTTAATATGTCAATAACTTTTTGTTGGTTTTTACTGTTTTCTCAGGACGTCCTGCCCCCCGTGCACGCCCTGCAGCACGCAGCCCTCCTCCTCGGCCAGGTACTGGTTACTTTTTGTGTCTTAGATTTTCCGAACATTTATGTAGTCCTTGCTTGTAAGAAGTATTAAGATATGTGGCTCCAAGCCATGAAAGAACTACTAGGAATTCATCTATTGTTTTGTTGTTAATTGATGCAGTTAACCACGCTCCTCCTCCAGCTCCAGCACAACAGGGTGGAGGTGGTGGATCTTTGCTAGGAGGGATTGGATCCACTATTGCTCAGGGTATGTGAAATATGATTTCTTTAACTAGAAAATGAGCTGTTTGTGCACAAGTGTGTGGTATTCATGGTTATTGGTGTAAGAATCACTTTGGAAAAGAGTCTTATGTTTGCTATTTTTCTCTCCTGCAGGAATGGCCTTTGGCACCGGAAGTGCAGTGGCACACAGGGCTGTAGATGCTATTGTTGGCCCTCGAACCATTCAGCATGAAACTGTGGTGTCTGAGGCTGCTGCAGCCCCAGCACCTGCCACAAACAGTATGGGTGGTGCTGATGCGTGTGGCATTCACACTAAGGCGTTCCAAGATGTATGCATAATTTTGATACTTTCTCATCTGTTTGGAGATGAAATGTTTAGTTGTGTGGCATATGATATGATGTCTTGATTTATTCTTCTGACCTTGTCTGCTGTGAGTGAGTGCCTAAGACTGTCTTAAGTTTGAAATGAATCGTTTCATTTCCTTTTGGAAATGTAAAAATAGGTCTTTGATACTAAAGTTAACCATTTTTATTTCATTTTAGTAGGTGTTGATGTAGATTTTTGATACTGTAGTTGCACTATTTTCTTTTCCTTTCATGTGTGTCAGTGTAGGCGTTTCCTACTGGACTGACACTCTTTTATTTTTTTATTTGTATTTTTTTCTCCTTTCACCTGTGGTTAACAAAATAGGTCTTTGATAGTAGGTGTGGGTTGTTAGCTCACATCTTCCGGATCCTTAATATGTTTAAGAGAATTCTTTTGGAAGTTATATTAATGTTAAAACTGATGTTCTTTTGGGTCCCTTTATTTCTGTGGGGGGAATGATTGTGGCTTTAGCTTAATAGCTAATACTTGTTTAACTTCTGTTTTTCTTGCAGTGCTTGAATGGCTACGGGAACGACCTTAGCAAGTGTCAATTCTATATGGACATGCTGTCCGAGTGCAGGAAGAATTCTGGTGGCATGTTGAGTGCCTAAAGCACTGCTTTGCTGTATATCAGCTATCATCTCTGCAAATGTCATTCTAATTTATTGTAGTCACGATGGTGAGCTGGTAGTCCGTTTATGGTGAAGCTCTGTTTAATAACCCATATTGGGAGGTACTGAAAATGACGATTTAAGTACTCTTTTATTATTGTTGTGGGAGCTTGGATACGAGTTCTTTGCTATCCCGGTCTCCCTATACTCTTGATAGTACTTGCTCTCTAAATATTGATCATGCGTTTCTGATTTGAAGCTACTCTTAAATAAATCTTTATCACAGCTTTTTGCCAATTTCTTTCCGTTAAAGACTTATTTTGCAATTTCGCTCATCTATTTATTTATTTGGAGATATAACTTATTTGTTTTTTCATTATGATTCATAGGTATGCAATTGTTGTATTTAGTAGGAAGTCGTTTCTTTCTTGAGTGAAGTATGAAGTCCTGCATATTCGCATTTAAATGCTGTGGCAATTTCAAGTTAATGACCATGGCAGCAAAAATATCATGGAGTGGATTGCACTCATTCTACTTGTCGTTGTTCCTTAGTCGCTTGATGTCTTTTTAACTTTTAAGCTTTAAACTAGACTTAAAAGCCAGCTCTCGGGTTGAGTTGCTGTTCCATGATCTACATGGGGTGCTTGGTGGTCTGAATGGGAAAGAG